TTTTCATAATTCCCCCGCGGGGGGAGAGGGAGAGCATTTAAGGAAGGCTTAACCGGAAGAACGACTTCTACTGTACTATTTTAGATGCGATTTTTTGTTTTCAATAACGTTTAGTCTTCATTAAGTACTTAGGTGTATTAAAACCAATCCCAGTCATCTACATTTATTGAATCATTTGGATGCCTTACAGATTTTGATACCAAATTGAAACTACTCTCAATATTATATTCCGATACATCCTAAATGAATAAACAGAATAGAGGTCTACCTTTTGCTGATAGGCTGTCTCTGAGTTCCTCTAAAATGGCATTGAAAGGTTTCCTTAATGGAATTTTTGCTCTTAATGTACAGTACCTCTTTCATTCGATGTTAAAATTGCATGGCACAATTCATTTCGATAGCTTACATGTTCTGGAGTGAAGGTATCAACACAGTTTTCATCTTTTATGCTCATCCTTATTTGGTTGGGATAGACAGAATATATCATTTCTTCGTTATTTTTCCTTGTGTTTTTAAATGATGAATACTTTTTCCTGACTTAGAAATTAATTAATATCATGTATTTCACAATAAAGTTTGATAATAGTTCTTTTGTTTTATGATATGTAAGTAAAAACAAATACTTTAATATTTTTGTCACTCCTTTATATGCTGGCTTGTCTTAATATTACGGTGACCAAACGTCCCCAATTTCCGGGAACTATCCTCGGTTTTACCTATTTTTAATCAATCTTTGACTAGAGCAATTTTATTAACACCCCAATATAATATTACCAATTTATAGATGAATAAGTAAATAAATTTTCAAAAATAATCAATCAATTTTAGACCCCATTTTCATTGATTCTGAAATGTGTCCCTGGTTGGATTGTAAATGATATGTGCAGCCTNACAGGAGTTTGGCAATTAGCTAAGAAATTAGGAAGGAAATGGAACGGTATGAAGAGAGAAGAGAAAGAAACATACCTAGAGATGGCCGAAAGAGACAGAGAACGATACTATGGACAGAAGAAAGCATTGGCTCATCTACATTCAAAATTGACATCGTCCAGTTGTGAAATAAGCCATTTCCATCCATTTAAATTGCTGGTCAACGACAACGACGTTGAATACGACCAGGCTAAATATAAAAATGAGATATTTGAGTATTTGTTAACTCTGTTGTTTCTGAGAATCGCATTCGACACTGAATACGATTAATCCATTCGGAACACTACAATAATTGAAGAAAATTTCCGAAATCTAAATATATAAAATTACTTGTCCTGACTGAATGACTGACTGAGTCACTGATTCATCATCGCCCAGAGCAAACCGCTGAACCTAGAGAAGTGAAATTTGTACACAGTTAGAGTACATCATGAAAACGCACAACAAGAAGGGATTTTTCATAATTCCCCGCGGGGGGAGAAGGAGAGCATTAATATTACGGTGACCAAACGTCCCCAATTTCCGGGAACTATCCTCGGTTTTACCTATTTTTAATATTTGTTCGTAGAATCAATCTTTGACTAGAGCAATTTTATTAACACGCCAATATACTATTACCAATTTATAGATGAATAAGTAAATAAATTTTCAAAAATAATCAATCAATTTTAGATCTCATTTTCACTGATTCTGAAATGTGTCCCTGGTTGGATTGTAAATGATATGGTCAGCCTACTTTAATATACCTGTTTAAACTTTGTCTATGACAATATTTTAAATCACACTCACTACATTCCATCTTATTTAACGTATAACGAGTTCCTCAATGTCGACAGTATGATAAACGAGCAATTATTTATTGTGACATCGTCACAATGCCAGGCTGCAATTTTTAATCACACTTTTATTTAATTTAAAATATATGCTCTCCGCCTCAAATTAGTACTGGCTTGACCCTGTACATCATACTTTTCCTTTAACAATAGATATCTTTCCTGCCCCCAAACTGTCCTATTTGGTTTCGTCTTTTATCTATCTAACTACGTTCTCGAGATTGACAGACTGACGACAATGGAAATTTATAAATCCACAATTTTTTAAAATTGCAGCCTAATTAATTGATTTATAGAAATTCAATCAATATTTTGTGGTGGGATGTACTGTACTGTACCATATTATCTAAGTTAGAAGTATGTGAACGTAACTGCCGAGTCTTGTAACAATTGGTAGTAAGGTCGATACAGGGTACCTTTGCACCTGGAAAGTTGGGGATTTTATTTTCATTAGTGTTTGAAAAAAGTCATGGAAATTCAGAAAATTTGTCAAAAAGTCAGAAAGTTTGCCTCATTGGCTGCTTTGTTAATTTTTTTTTCTGATAACGCGCTAAGTGTAGCCATCTGCAGGCAGAAAGGAGTAATATGGTGCAATGCACTTACAGTACTTATGAAAAGTGTTGCAGAATATTTTCAGGACCCAAAATTTCTCCAAAAATTTACCAAGTACAAAAAATGATACAGTAAATAATTATAATTAAATAAATATTATACTTCTGCACATGGATTGTACAGGATTTGAATAATAAATAAATAATAGCTTTGTTTTCTTTATTCACATCCACTTAGATATATAGTTATGGCATAAAAATAATAACTACTAAATTCTTCATAAAAATTTATTTTTATGAAGAATTTAGAAGTGTTATCAATTATATTTCAGAAATTTGTATTTTTTTGTTAACTCTTCATTTCCCATGGGCACTAAGAGGGGCTTTTTTTTTATAAAAAATCCATTATAGATTCAGCCAGACCCACAATGGGAGAGCCGGGTGTTGAAAGATGGAGCTCGACATATCAGAAGGGTCCATCCCCACAAACTCCTAAGATTTTTCTGAGATAAATATCTCAGAAAAATCTTATTAAAAAATTGAATTAAATAATTTAATTTTTGAAAATTAATTACAGTAATTATAACGGTTAATTACTGTTTCTGTTAAAGATAAATGAATTACTAGTTTATTTAACAGTTTTTTTCTAATTACTTTTTCATGATATATATAAATAGCACTTATATATATGTCGTATAATAATATAATTCAAGATCTTATGGTAAAGATGTCTTTACTGATTAAACTATTTGCAACTGATTCTTAATTTAATTAAAAAAAAAACACGCAATAACTATGTACAAAATGCTGGTAATTTAACCAGGCGGAAAGATAGCTTACCTCTATGAGTATCAGAATTCAACTCCCATACAAACCCTCAACACTCATTTTAGAAACATTATCCATAAACTAAGACACAAATTAATAATAAAATATAATTTTTTGAATTATACGATTCGTTACATCACTGTAAACAGGATAAGTTTAAACATTATTAACGTTTTGCAATCGTTCAGCGGAATAAGAAAATATTTAATAGTTTTCACGTGACGTTCTAAATGTTGTTTAAAATCAATCCAACTACTCTTAATCGTTAGATAATGGCTCTGAAAAGAGCCGTTTGGTTGTTAAATCATAAAACTCTAGCAGTTATATCGTCTACTATCGGAGAGGATCACCATAAGATTATTCAATATTAGAGACATCTTGAAAATTTTAGTTCTTCTGCATGGACAATGTCTTCTGCGAAATCGTCTTCGCCTTGTGCTTCTCTGCCTTGATCGTCCTCTCTGTTTATTTCTTCTTTTGCTTCTGATTCTCTGCCTTGATCTTCCTCTCTGTTTATTTCTTCTCTTGTTTCTGATTCTCTGCTTTGTTCTTCCTCTCTGTTTATCTCTTCTCTTGCTTCTGCTTTTTTCCATCCTTCTTCTCTTGGAAATCTCTCCTTTACTAGCACAGCTTCGTTTTACTTGAAGATCATCATCCATTGCATGAGGACTGCGTTTTCTACTTTCATTGCTTTTATCGCTCATCATGATCTTAAAAATTCTAGAAGCGGAATAACGAAATTCGAATATATGAAACGGTGTTTGAAAACGCTATCGTTATGTGACGTTCGGAATTTGAAAATCGAATTTAAACACGTTCGATAACTTCTATAATTTGAAAATTTAAAAATTATAGATTTACAGGAATGTATTAAAACAAATTATATATTTGGCACTACAAATATCGTTAAATAAACTATTTTAATGGAATTAAAATGCATTTTATGTATCATTGGTTTGGTTTATTCGTTTAAGACGTGGACGATCTCCGAGGGTGTACGGCTCCCGAGAAGACTTTCTATGAGAAAGTAGCCCCTATTTAGGTGTCAAAAACGTGAAGAAAACCCGGAAAACTCCAAGCCGGTCCACTGGCCAGGAGAAAACCCATAGCCACTACCAGTGTTCGGTGGATTTATCCACTTAGACATTGGTGTGTTTGTGGCATAAAATATAGTTTTAAAAATTTTAAATATTTCACTAAAATCTGATAAATAAAAGGGAAATTTTGTTTATTTGTTTGTTACAGCGTTGTGGAATTTATCACTATTCAAACTATCTTCCGTGGACCGCGGGGATTATTTTCGGAGATTATACAGTATTACTAAAGCTACTTTGTTTCTTAACTTTTTTGATTTGCCGTAATATCCGCTTATCACTTTTACATCTTATAAACAAGTTTTTATGGTGTTACAGAAAGCAAGGACAAACTTTCTTTTCCCTTTCGGTAATGCCGTGATCAACTCCCTCATTTCTCCTATTCAGCGTTATATAATACTTGAACAGTTACAAACTTGATAATTTTCAAGAAAAACAATAAATTTTTTATATAAAATGAAAAATTATACATAAATGCACACCGAAACCAAAGATGTCGGCCATTGCGGACTTTTCGTAATATCTAATATTTCGATAGGTCGCACGGCGTTACGAAATTACAATTTTTATGAAAATTACATTCCAATTTACGTAAAATCGTTCGACGAGGGTCTTTTTGCCGCTGCTTCTTTTTAAAAATAAAAATCGTTAGCGTGAACATTTATGCAGTGGACATGAAACTGTTTAAAAGTTCATACGTTCATAATTTAATTAAAAGAAAAAAAAAAGCATTTAATAATTTTCACACTAGAGGTCGTTATTAATAAACGTCATCGTTCGCCATTTTTGTGATTTTCACTTCGGTAGTGAGGTGCGATCATTTGTTTGCCTTGTCGAAATGCCTTATGTAAACGAACGTGAGTTTGTTTTCTTTTTTCTATGCTAATATGTTTATTGTTTAGTAACTAAAGAAATAAAACTTAAACAAATAATTTACGTATTATTTAAAATCCATTTAGTTTTCTTTTAGATGAGACGTAAATAACCAAACTTAAATATAAAAATGTGATATTTTCGTAAATGATGGCAAGTATCGAGAATAGTAAAGCTTTCTTTGTTTAAATAACTGCAAATATTTCCTCCATAAGAACACATTAAAACAATCCTTTAAGAACCGACTTTCCTTGATAAAATCTGATGATTGGTCGTGGAGGCCCTTTGGTGGCTGACCGGTTCTGTTTCCTGAGTGCTCGGTTATGGATCTGTGCCTCGCCGGGACGTTTTCTCGTAGACTTTTCCGAGTTTTCTCCACATTTGCATTACAGGTGGTTATCCTTAAAAGACCTGATGGAAGGTATTATTCTCTACTCCCCCATGCATGATTGAGCAGTAAGCTTTGTCCGGCAAAAGCGGATCGTATGGTACAGCAACGAAGCTAAAAGCCCACGTATTAACTTGGACGACGAAGAGAATAAAATTGATCGTGGGTTCGCATCCGATTGACGAGCTGGCCGCGTGGAGTTTTCCGTCTTTTCTTCACGTGTCTAATACCTAAATAGAGATCGTATAAAGTCCTCCCTCCTATCGAGAGGAGTTTCTTTTTGGCAGATTGCCTGTGTGTTGTGTTATGTTTCTCATCAATCCAAAACTTTCTTCAAAATTAATATCAATGTCAATTTGAAATGTCGATAAAAAATCTTTTGTACTATAAAGTAAACTATACATTGATGCAATTTCAGTTAACTTATCTATAGAAACAATAAACTAATGGGTTGTCCTCGACCTGTCTGTGGATATTTCGAGACTTGGGTATTGACTACGTGGATAACCACTATATTTGTTACATTACAATTATATTTATTTATAGTATTTGTATATGTTAATAAAATTTTCCTTTTAATATCGATTTAAAAGTTAAAATAATTTCACCATTTATTGTTACAAAATCAAATTATTTTCTTGATGTGAAATAATGTGGAAGAAATATGTTTGTGATAATATGACTTCTTTTTGTGAACACATTTGACAGAAATTAAAATTGCATTAATATAATGTATTTATAAATTGATGTTAAATATATTACTTTTTCCATCTAATTTACTTATACATAAATTAGGAATGAGGCCATGTTTTAAAAAGTGTCCCTGTTTGTGTCAGTCAACCTTGACTGACTTAATTTGACAAAATGGTTGAAAGACTGACATTTAAAAAAATTTATGGATTGTATGCATATACAGTAATTGTTGTATATATTTGTATAAAGTATTTAATTAAAGAAGAAAATTTTGAAGCTATTTTTGTTGCACTGCAGGCTTGTTTTCTTGTACAACTTTGTTCCCTTTTTTTCCTTTTGAGATATAATCATGATTTTTTTCTTTTGGATGACTGACTTTCATAAGTATAAAAGAGTAGGTGTGCTGGAGGGGGAGGAAACTGATTAACTACTTTAGTATAACTCGAACTGATTTGAAACATTTTATCATTTTTGTAATAATGATGTATGTTTCTTCTTTATACATTTACTCGTATTAAATTTTTAAATACAAACCATCATATTTAGAAAGTAGGAGAGACCAGAACATTGGAAAAATCCACTGTTGGAACACTGTTGGAACAGTGTGTGGTTTGGATTTTTTTTTTATTGAATAACTGTTAATGTTAGTTAGCATGTTAAAGGTTGTTTCATCAGATGTTGCAAATTAGTTGGATGTTGTTATATACAAAATATTTATAAAACATTAAAACAGATTAGTTCAGTGTCATTATATATATAATAATGTCCAACTAATCTTTTTTAATGTTTTATAAACAGAATTTTCAGAAGGAAAAAAGTTTTTCAGAATGCCGTTTGTTTCAATTTACTCTGAACCAGTGGTATGTTGAAACAGATCATAGGGTAAGTTGGAACTATATATTCTGGTTAATGTAAATGTAAACCATAACAACCAATATATATATATATATTCATACACTGATTTCCAAAACTTAAGGAAAAATCACAAAAATAGCAAAAATTCATTCAAAAACAATCCAATCACTACAAAATTTGAGTATGTAGTTAAATAAAATGTGCTGAACAAAACTTCAATATGCAAAATAGTGGCACTTCAATTGGAATGCACCATCTGCAAGTAGCATAAAAATGCATGTTTAACAGTAAGACTATAGTACTGTGATATTATAGTAACAAGAAATCTGGGATAGACACTTTGTTACAATGATTTTGAGGCATTATTTGCTGGATGAACTGTGGTGGATGGCAATTGAGAGATTAGAGGCAGGTCAAAGTCAGACAGAGGTAGCCATATGGTTAAATGTGAGTCTTTAGACTTTAGCAAAAATTTCAAATCACAGATTTGGCATCCAAAGGTTCAGTGAACCTTTGGATGCCAAATCTGTTGAGCACTTTGGAGGCCAAGAGCTATGTTGAGCCTGATTCATTTGTAAAACCTTTGGAGGCCAAGAGCTATGTTGAGCACTGATGACTGATATTTGCAGTTATTCACATGAAGGAGTAGAATCAAAACTTCAGACTATGAGGCGTTAAATATAATTAAAAATATTTTATTCTTGAGAGCGCTTTCGACGTAAATATGCACGTCGTCTTCAGGCAATTCAAAATCGAATCTCTATTCGATTTTGAATTGCCTGAAGACGACGTGCATATTTACGTCGAAAGCGCTCTCAAGAATAAAATATTTTTAATTATATTTAACGCCTCATAGTCTGAAGTTTTGGAAGAAGTTTTGATTGAGATAACTGTTGGCGTGACATCTGACCCCAGTACTTAATACTCCTAACATGAAGGAGTAGAACTTTAAATTGCCAACTTCAAGTTAGGTCTTCTCATGCTACAGTTGTCAGAAGGATGGTGTCAACGTCTACTGTGCACAGAAGGCTTTATGAAGGTGGTCTGTACATGAAGTGACCAGCCATTTGTATGCTGATCACATTGCCATATTTAAACTATATCAGTGATTTTAAAAACTACGTATTTAATTTTCTTTCTTTAAATATCGATCAAAAAACCAATTGTACTGTAAAATAAACAGGCACAGCCTTCTCACTGAAATTCTATTTTTTTTATTGTAGTGTAGGACCTACAAACACTTGTCTTTTTCTTTCACCTGCGACCCCCATGTAAGGCTTCGCGACCCCCGGGGGTCGCGTCCCACAGGTTGAAAAACACTGGCTTATACGTTAAAACATCGGGCTAACTTTTACAAATGAATTTATTTATAGCTTTTAGTTAAAAAATAATTTATTTATATGTTGTAATATGATCTTTGTATTCAAAAGCATAATGTTTAAAAATTAGAACACAGCTATATTTAAAAGCTAAAACTTTTCAAGAGATAGAACTGTTTTTTCTGTTGTTTGCATTTTTCCTGATGAGGGCCTCTGAAAGACAGCCGAAAATTTTTGAACATTAAAGTTTATTTTTGTTCATTTACTGCTGGAATTAGCATTTAGGTGTGAATTTGTGTGTTTAGTATGTATACAATATTATGTAATTTGCTATTTTTTATGTATTTACATAAATTTACTGTTATATCTGACAACTACTGTTGTTTATCATTGTCATTAATTTTTATTGTTTCTTTTAAATGTTTTTGAAGGTTATTATGTTCAAAAACATTTGAAAGAAAAGGTAGAAATTAAGATTGGTTAGATTAGATTGATTAGATGAGTATTCATTTTGTAAATAATTTTTAATCACTTTTATAGCATTTATACAAAGTTCGTTATAGTCTTATATTAGCAGATTTAATTTTGATAAAATAAATCTGCTAATATAAAATAGTATTTATAATGTTTTTTAAAGGTGTTTTTTTTTATTTCAGTTAGTTTATTAATTGTTGATGTTTATAAATAATAGTTTGCATTTCACTGTAAAAAATATTTATGTATTGTTTTCGTAATAAAATGTCTGAATTACAAAATAATTTTTCTTTTTATTTCTTAGGTGGTATGGTATCAGGTTCTCAGTCTTCATGGGGACTATCAAAGTTAACGTATTGGTTTTGGGAGATATGTAACATTGGATATCTTTTGTAAGTTTGAGTTATTATTTCTAAATTTAAACTGATTTTAATAAAACATCTAATTTAATGCTAATAAGAATTTTTTTAGATTTAACCTGCTTTTGAGATGGTTTGATTAAGCATAAATTTGTCGACACAGAGTTTTCACTTTACAGCTGTTATTTTCTATAGATAATGATTTACTGAAATAAATCATTATCTACCTATACAATATATATACAGTATACAAAATAACACACATGACACTTTTAATGACTGATAATATCCATGAACATACAATAAGCGGTTTTATCACATTAGCCCATTCCAAAACATATGATTTAATAATAATTAAATTATAATCTTAGTAACATGTAATAATTAATAAATCTTTGTTATACAAATTTTAATTGACTGACATTAAAATATGTTAGTGAAAAATTTTATTTTATTGTTTTAATTGAATTTAACTAAAATTGTCTTATTTAATTATGCTACTTAAATGTTGTTTTAGCTATTGTTTCCAGTAATAGTGAGTTCTAACATGATATGGATTCAATTGTATTTTAGTATTGTGAAAATATTTTTAAAATGTTGTGCCTGAAATTATGAAACAGACTGCATCTATAAAAAATCTGTTATATGTTTGGGATGATATAATACTGCTAAAAGAATTCTTTGAAACAATTAAATGGAGATTGATGTATGACCCATCACTTAGTAAAAAAGTGCATTGGATGATCATACCAGAATTCAAAAATCACTTCATGGGAATAGTTTATGGCAAGAAAGACTATTTTAGATAGAGAACAGCTATACTGATCACTGGACTGACTAACAGACAGCATAACAATTCTATCAATTAGTTTTGGTAAACATGGCAGTAAGTTAAGGACTGGATGGAAAAAGTGAGAAACTTATCATGCTTTTTTCAAATATCTAAATTCTATCAAATGTAAATCTACTGTAAATACACTCCTACCTAGATAAATCTCACCATCAAGTGGTATATTCTGCGTGATTTAAGCTAAGCCTTTAATTTAAAGTATCAGTGTTTGTTTTATTTTTGAGTAGTATTGAAATACTTTTATATTTAAATTAATAATTTATCCTTATAGTTTTTATAGTTAATTTTTACATAAATGTCTATGTATATAGTAATATTAAACAATCGTAGGCCAGGTGGCTGAGCAGTTAAGGTGACAGCCTACTGCTCTGGAGGACCCAGGATCGAATCTGGAGGGGTCGAAAAATCCTCGGGAATTTTTTGCAGGTTGGTCATCCAGATATATTGGGTTCCATCTACCATCCAGCTGCCCCATTGTGGACCTGGTCAAACCCATAATGGGCTTGCTGAAAGAGGTCCTCTTTCAGCAAGCTCACATGGCAAAAAGAGTTTTAAAAAAAATTATATTAAACAATTGTAAATTATTTAATAATTCAAAATTTTGTTTTTCATTGAATATTGAATCACTCAACACACTTATTGATGAAATATTTAAATTTAACTTTAGGCTCTTGTGAAATAAATTCACATTGTGGTTATTAGATAGCATTGCTGTCAAGATAATTGTAGAATTGTAAATTTAATAAAATTTTGAACTATTGAATGTAAATTTGTGTGTCAATCATGTGTCTGTGGTTTTTTTGAATTTCATAGTGAAAAAATTACATATGTTTTAATGTATCGATTATATAAAACTTAGAGTACTTTTTACATTGTTTCTGTAAATAAAAGTAAAAAATGATGATATATTCCCTTTTTAATTTAAGCAAATAAATATATTATTTGACTAAATTTTAAAATTAATTAAATATATGACTTATTTTTTTCAGCTTGAGAACATTAATAGAGGTAAGTTAAATTTCAATGTTTTTATAACTTAATAACAGTATTATTAGTTTTTATTGTATTTATAAAATGAATATCATACTCAGCAGTTATTTACTTTAGATATAAATTACATCTTAGGTTGTGTACACATTAGGCATTTTGAAGTGCATGCTTCAAAATGCACACAATACACACACAAACGCGTGTTGATAGATTTTGGTTAGGACGTGCATTTTGTGGGCGTCAGCCGTGCGCTTTGAGATACTTATACTGCCATGTTGTACATTCGATCGCACACTTTCGGGTAGAGTGGACGCACGTTGTCCGAAATGGAGAATGATCATTTCGATACTGATCTATTTATTGATAAAATCCAAGAGAGACCAGCCATCATGAAATGATTTTATAGACATTCTAAAATAATTAAAAAACTTGGGTTCATATTGTCTTAGTTTCGGATACAACGTCAAACATTCCATGCGTCAGTCTATCTCATAATATTGGGTGCGCCCAAAATTCTCTTTGCCTCTGCCATTGTCTTTTATAGCGATGATAGAGGAGTCACACACAAGCAATTACTTTCACATCCATTTCCAAGCTGAGCTAGTGCAAATGGTTGTCAAATGCCGAGCTAAACGTGCGGTATGTATGCTACTAACACGCGTTTAATGCAACGCCCAACGCGTACTAGCCCTTAAGGTATACAAGTTATTTAAAATATTTAGTCAAACTTATTTAATATGAAAGTCTATATTCAACTATACCAGCTAGAAATAATAAAAAGTGTGTCAATTTAAAAATAATACCCACTTTATAGAAGTGAAGTATAATATATATATATATATATATCTCATTGAATTAAATAATGTTTTGAAGTTCATTTTTAGAGCTCCAAACAAAATATATTGAAATGTTTGAAAACTGTTTGTGGAGTTAAGTGGAATTATAGTTTTAGTGTATTATAGTTTTTTTTCTTCACTGCAAATGGTTTTTTCTTACTTTTTTCAAAAGGCATTTTGTTTTATTTTCTATCTCTTCATGTCTCACCATTCCCTCTTTACTTTCTGTTACTTTCTGTAATTTATAAAGGCAAAACTTTTTTCTTAAACTGTGTTTTATTGTATGCTTTACTAGATTAGTAACGAGCTGAATGTTCGTAAAAATTTTTATATGATGATTGTTTTGCTGATGACAGCTGTTATAAAAAAACAACAATAATATTTTATATTATTGTTGGTTTTTTATGGAATTGCATTTTGTCAAAAATAAAATTAAGATCTGTGAAAATTTATTTTAACAATTAATTTAATATTGATTTTTAGATTTTTCAAAAATTGCATTATTTTGAACAGGAAGGTATACTTTTTAAATGATGGGCCAAATTTTTTCATTTTCATAATTTGTAAAATTACTGAAATGATGTAAGTAAAAGTTTGTTAATTTAGCATCTGCAATCAGAGTAGTGCTGAATTAACTTACGTTTTCAAATTTTTACAAAATTTGATAAGTTATATGTGATCTGAACATTTCAAATATTTAATAAAATTAATAAAATATTTAAAATATTCAATGGGGCTGGAAATTTAAATTAAAATAGTTCAAGAAATTTTAAAAAAAAGGATTCTTTTAAATACAAGGATAATTTTCAAGCTGTTCTGGCTTTAGTGGCAATTAACACATTCAAACTACACTTCTAACAAGAAAGGAATTATTTATTCTCACTTTTCATTATACAACTATGGGTGCATTCTTTTATTCCTCTGCATAACTCAGTGCGAGCAACATCTGTTTAAAAATTTCTGCGGAATGCGTTCCTAAATTCCTGTTGGAGTGCACGCCGTCAAACGGCAAAAACAGCTGCTTGTAGCAGTCGTTTGCGGTGGAAAGCAACATGGCGTCCCCCATGGTTCAGATAGTTTCATTTCAGAGTCCATTATGTGGTTTTATGAATGAAAATTTAGAAGTTGTGAAAGCGCAAGTTAATGCACGCGGTGATGTAAGTGTCTTTTCGAATTTTTTCAAATGGTAGGCGGCATTCTGATTTTTTCATGGCTATTTTGAATGTTCTTTCAACAAATAATCCATTTTATGGTTAAATTTTACAATTTGGACTCTTCTTTTGCCTTTAAAAGCTCATATTTTAGAATTATAGATTTCTCCATCACAATACTATTGTAGTGAGTACGAAATGACAGGGTTCGGACTCACTGATAAAGAAAACACGGGTCATACAAATAATTATCACTCGAATACGGTTTTGAGGAAGGAAATTTATAATTTATGTATACAAAAAAAAAAAAATATATAATATTTAAAACACTAGTATACTAATTACTTAGATTACAAAAATGCTTAGCCTAATGGTAATATTTACAATTTATACAGTGATGAGTACATGCTGGAGGGGTTGATGCATTCTTTGAATGTTGTTCAATTTTAGCCAAAAATTTACAACGGAACGGTCGTACTACATGTGAGTATCAGTTATTCCTTTTACCTTCTGTCTCTAATCAACAGTTCTTCCACTCTCCATTGAATATTATTGTGGATGCAAACAGATTCCATTCAACAAAGAGCCTAGCGCCTCTTCCCTACTCTTAACCCTTCCTTTGCTTATCTCTTCTCTCGGGCTTCCCTGCCTTCATAGCCTTCCGCTGGCTTGCTCTCCACTAGTCCCAGGCAAAGTCCAAAGAAAAAAAAGCCCTTGTGCTTGTTATACACTCCCTTTTATACCCCTTCCATCAGGGTTTTTCCCGTCACATGATGTCATCACAACCAACCCCAGACTGAGTGGTCGCCGAAGACAGAGGCATGTGACAAGCAGAACGTCTTACAACAAAATTATCACGACAAAAGGGGGGTCCAATGCAGAACCGACCCCGATACAAAAAGAATAGAAGTAAAAATATATACATATATAACAATTTAGTGACAGAGCACTACACTATATCTTTCTTTCTATCACCGTTGTTCCTAAATGCCTACAAACAGCAGCGCACTCCCGTAGTAGCGGAGACGCAGAATGACCGCTATTAACAAACGCACCCTATAAGTTACCTATCACATGCATTTCACCAAAGTAATGACACTTTGGTCTCTTTAGTGATGCAATTCAATCCAAGTGCAGTTCATTTATAGTTAACAAATCTATCCCAGCATGCATCAACATTGATGCTATTATTTAAATTAACATTATTTATAGTTTTCTTATTTATTATCAAGAACTGTTCTTTAATTTTTCTCTTAACAATATTATTTTCTTTAAACAATATATTATATACATATAATGTTACAATTTGACTCACTACAATGCAAATACCATGGTGATGTCATGATACTTAATCGAATAACTGCTTGATGTTGATGTTTTTTGAGTAATCTTTTTGTTTCTCTTATATAATATCTCATTTCATTTTCACACGTATGGTATATTTTGTAAACCACTTCAGTTGTCTTGAGAATATTTCTTTCTTTTCTTTTTTCATGCAGTTATCTGGATACTCTGTTTTTTTTTTTTTGGGAAGGAGCCAACCATGTGGAAAATTTGCTAAATTCACCTTTATATTTCTCAAATAAACCTTTTATGTATGGAAACTGGAAGTATTGAAAAGATTGCAGCTTTATTTTAACTTTGAATCTATCTGAAATAAATTTATTATACCGTTATATCTTAAGAACCTTCTAAAATGAAGATTCTTAAGATATGTGTTTAATAAATATTTATTAAATGTCTGTTTTGTTTCGGTTTTGATATCTTTTTTTAACATAGTCTGTTATTGATAAAGAAAATATTATCTCCATTAAAAATATATTCTGTTTAATTGATAACAGACAATATGATTTATAAATTAATAGATTTTTTTTAACATTACCTGACTTTTCATACTTACGAAATTTATATATTTCATCTACTCTTGTAACTGTTTTATCCAGATAATTAATTAATTGTAGTTATAGTTGTATAATGAAAATGAGAATAAATAATTCCTTTTTGTTATAAGTGTAGTTTGAATGTGATTATTGCCACTAAAGCCAGAACAGATTGAGAATTATCCTTGTATTTTAAGATCTGGTCTCTTCTGCTTGAGGGTGCTGAAAATCGAGCCATAAGTTGCTTGGTGTTTGTACCTTGTGATACAATATATTAATATTATGATATGACTCTCATCCAGTAGAGGGCTGTGTGATCAGTAAAAATCATGAATTTGATTTCATCCAATTATTCTCTAAATTTTTTTACAGCTCATACTTTGGCTGGACATTCCAACTTGGTTGCCATACAGTTCCTTTTGGCCTTTCGGAGTGTTCTACATGCATATATGATGGGTCTTTCTTGACAAAGAACAGCCCCTAGTCCAACTGTGCTAGAATCGGTGTAAAGAGTAAAGCTTGTTGAGGCAACTGTAAAATAGGAGCAGTTATAAGCTTATCTTTTAAAGATTGAAAAGGCTTCTCACATTTGGGGCTCCAATTCCATTTGATTCTTTTGCATCTTAATTGATAGAGGTTTGTCTCTTCTTACATATTGTGGAATGAAGCAGCTGTACCAGCTACACATTCCTAAGAACACACTTAACTGTTTCGTATTGTGTGGTCTCGGAAACTCCCTGATAACTTGTACTTTACTTTTTTCAGTGGATAACCCCTATTTGTTTACCTGAAATCCTAATTGATGTACTTCCAGTTGATAAAAATGACTCATAGCTAATTTAATTGTCAGTCCTGCCTTTGACAATCTTCAGAAGACTTCTCCAATATGTTGGAAGTGTTTTGAAAAAAGTAGAATAATATATGATTGTCATCTAAATATATCTCACAATATTGGTACTTTATTCCTTGCAGGACTTGATTCATCAGACGTTGAAATGCCACTGAGAAATTTTTCAATCCAAATGGCATTACCAGAAATTTGTAAAACCCTTTATTAGTAATAAAACTTGTCTTAGGCATATCCTTTTTTTTACAGGCACCTGCTGTGACAGATTCAGAGTAGTAATGAATTTAGCATTCTTAGCAAATTCTGAAATGACAAGGGCAAGGGAAATTTATATGTTATCTGATTATTTCTCACAATGAAGTGTGATATAAATGACACAAGGGTTTTTTACATGTATTTAATTCTCTTTTTCCATTTGCCAAGACGCATTTCAGGTCTTTGCTCCTCAGCTGTCAGCTACAAACAAAGGATCTAATGACTTACAACATAACATTTAAAACAACAATTGTTCAACAAAGAATGTACATTTTCTGTTAAGGTGTTATACATTTATTTTCTTGAAAATGTATAATAGTGTGGGTTTGCCTTTAAAACACTAAGATACTTATAAAAACTTGGGTTCTTAAACAGAACTTAGTTCTCATTTCTCAGCTCAACCAAGCTGTCAGCATCTTACTCTCAAATCCATTTACACACTTGAAAAATTTAATAATCTTTAAAATTTATCTAATTTATTAAAATATTTAAAATCCATTTTTTAAAAAATTGAAAAAGATATCTATTTATGATGCTTATAAATTATTTTGGCTTAATCATACACGTTTTGTCTAATATCATTAATGCTAAATATGAACAAATTTTAATATATCTACATCCAGTTATGCATTTAAAAGGTATATTTATAATTGCATCAATAATTCAATAAAATATAAAATGTATTCTTATTTTTAGCATTTTATAATATTAGGTTGTTCGGAAAGTAAGTTTGTTTTTTTACCACTAGACGGATTAGTCGTATTTTTCCCGCCATTTTCATTCTAAACCGTATTATCATTGTATATTTTGACAGCTATCATTTTAAGGCTTATTTGTAAAAAATTTTGTTTGATTTTGTGCAATTGTTTATTTTTTGTGTCCCATCAAATATGGAAGATCGAAAGCAGCATTTTCGGCATATTTTGCTCTGTTATTACTGAAAAAGTAAGAATTTTGTTTAAGCAAGAAAAAAATTGTGGTACATGTATGGAGATATGTGTTGAGAGAAAGACAGTGCCAAAACTGGTTTACAAAATTTCATTCTGGCAATTTCAATATTGAAGGTGTACCACGTTCTGGATGGCCAGTTGAAATCAATGAAAACAAAATAAAGGTACTGATTGAAGCAAACTTCTGAATAACAACATGTGAAATCACTAAGAGATTAAATTTGTCAAATTGAACTGTTTATGATTACTTGAAACAAATTGGTTTCGTTTCAAAGCTTGATATATGGGTTCCACATATTCTTAAAGAGAGATGCTCTCTTTGGTGGGATTTTAAGGAAATTTTTTTTTGGAGCTTTTACCAGACAATTTAACAATTGATTCAAAAGTGTACTGCCATCAAGTAAACAAATTGAGTAATATCATCAAACAGAAAAGGTGGCCAGAATTGATCAACAAAACAGGTGTAGTGTTTTACTACGATAATGTCAAATTTCACACAAGTTTGCTGACTCGTCAAAAAACTGTTATAACTTAGATGGGACGTGCTATCGCACCAACCATATTCACCAGATTGAGCACACTCAGATTATTACTTGTTCCGGTCTATACAAATTATTTTTAACTGTAAGACATTTACTTAAAATGACAATGTCAAAAATCACTTGGATCAGTTTTTTGTAAGCAATGATTAAAACTTTTATGAATGTGAAATCATGCTACTACCAGAAACGATGAGAACAGGTATTTGAACAAAATGGTCGATATATAATTCAATAAAATATTTATTTATTATAAAAATGTGTTTTTTCCACAGAAAAAAAATGAACTTACTTTTCGAACAACCCAATATTTGGATCTATTTTCCATTTGTTTTGATGCTAAGATTTTTATTAATATTATTTTTACTTTTGAGGATAACTATACTTATGTAGGCTGGTTTTTTTTTCAAAGCTCCGATGGTCTGGTCCATAATAAAAAGGACAAGTGTAAATAACAAAATGAATTTATTACGAAAAAGTTAGGTATAAACATGGTTACTTTTCGACATAATCACTGTGAAGATTGAGGCATTTATCATATCTGTGGACGAGCTTTTCCCATCCCCTTGTCATAGAATGTTGTCGCCAATAACTTGAGATGGGCCCTAACGTCTTTTTAAAGATCATCATTAGTCTTGAACCTCTGCCCTCTAGCCACTTTTCCTGTTCAGGAAAGTGGTGGAATTGGAGCTATATGCTGGGTGTTTAAAGGTGGTGAAGATTTCCACCCACCTTAAAACTTTTTAATATGTGAAGACTTCCACCTCTTTCCTGAACTGAAAATGTGTCTAGCAGGGGTTTGAGACTAATGACAAACTTCAAAACAACGTTGTTAAGGCCATCTCAATTCACTGGCGGCAACATTCTGACAAGGGGATGGAAAAGCTCGTCCACAGATATGACAAATTCCTCAATCTTTACGGTGATTATGTTGAAAAGTAACCATGTTTGTATCTAACTTTTGGAAAAAAAATTCATTTTGTTATTTACGCTTGTCTTTATTTTATGGACCATCAGAGTTTGGAAAAAACAACCTTTGTACTTCAAATTTTTTGCTATATGTATTTTTTCCTGTTGTAAAATTTTAACATTTTCTCTGTCTATATTGCAATTATTCAGTGTACAATGGTCGTAGAACACAGAATTAGTTATTCGATACTTTAAATCTGCAATATTCTCTTTTAATCCGATTTTCGTTTTTATTTTAGTTTCAACCATGTAGTAATGGGTGTTTTCACAAGTACACAAGATTGAATATACTATGTTATTTATTTCATTTATGTCTTGTTTTTCTTTCTTTATAGAATAAAAAGAAAACAGTCAAAAATGTAATTTATCTTAGGTGGGGATAATTTAACTTTAATCTTGTTTAGTTCCTTGTCAGTTTCTTCATATAGTCATCTGAAGTACAGGAATGCTATGTATCTGACAGTTGGTTTTTGATTCTCTACTGATTTTTCCAATTTTTACAAAATTAAGCTGCAGTTGAGCTGAAAGCCAAAAATGTAATTGAAAATTTTGTCAAAAGAATGTGTATGTGTGTCAGAACCATGGGGGCATTTCTCAGATATTTTATTCTATATTTAATTGCAATGTTTATGCTTTAAAATGATGTAACACTTTTGCCAATTAATGAATAAATAAAATGTTCTTTTTAAAATTTAAATCCTGAGTTACTTTTGGTGACACACTCTATTTAAACTTTTATAGCCAGCAATTCAGCAAGGATCTAGCAGTTGGAGAAGTTCTGGTGGTGGTCGAAGTGGAGGAGGAGGATTTGGTGGTGGTGGCGGCGGCGGTGGAAGAGGCGGCGGAGGTTTTGATAGGTGTGTGTGGTTTTTTTTTTTTTGTTTAATTTTACATAATTAATATTCTTTATGAAATGACTTTTGTTCGTTTTTAAATTTATATTAATTATTGATCATTATTTAAGGGGGAAAAATCACTAAATAAAAAAAATATATTGATAGAATTTCCTGCATTATTACTTTTATAATTTTATGGAATTATATCTCAGAATGAAATTCATTGATTTGATAAGAAGATATTTTAAAATTTGAGATTAAAATTTTATTTGTTTAATTAGAGATAAGATTCTATTAACTGTGAATAGGTTGTTTTTATATGAAAAAAATTTTCTCCTCTATCACAATTTGCCCTTAAATATTATTATACATTATGAAATTTTGCACAATATATATAAAAGTTACAAGCAGAACATTCAAGACCTACATAGTCTTCAAAATGACTTATTACTATAATTACAAAGTTTTTCTCAATACACCTTTCCTTGCTGTTTTCTTACTATATCTTTCCCACTATTTCAATTTTTCTAATCAAGATGCTTGACTTTGAAATGCTGTTAAATATTCCATATAAATATATAAATAAGCATTGAAAAATGTCGCACAGTCAATCAGAATCAAAGTTTCATCTATGGCATGTGATCTATATTTTTCTAATGATGCAAGTCTAACTTTACATTCCAGCAAACTGGAATTGCTGCCCATTATTTGTCTATTGTTTTGCAGATTTAATTGATGATTTCAAGTACAGTATATTTTGATTTACAATTTTGTTGTCTGCATACATACATTGATTATAAATATATAATCATCAACAATATTTATAATATTTTTCCTATTAATTTGGGTTTATAATTTGAGAAAAAAATTTTTTATATTTTTGATGACGATGATGGCAGCAAATCCTGTTTTATTACAATGTAGTTTTTTTTTACCTTTTACACAAGTTTTAAAATTGATTTTTCTTAAAATTTTTACGTCATATAAATTTTTTGCTATCCATCTCATTCACAGCTAGTAAATGTAATTGATTTAAAATAATTTTTTTAAAATTAATTCTGCTGATTTCTACAATTCTACTATGTAGAAATCAGAAGAATTGAGGGAGTAACACAATACCAGTAGGGCATCTATATAAACATGTGGAGTATGTGTTTTTACTCATTAATTGCTATTAAGCATAGTGACTGTGGTTTTTTTCTGAAGTATTTCCTATGAAATTCAGTGCACTTCTGCCATCATTTTGGCCATTGCTTGAAGATTGGTAACCTTTTGCTATATTCTTCAGGATCACTTTGGATACTTTGACCACTGCTGTTCTGACAGGAAATAGATTCCTGTAATGTCAGTTTTAGTTCTGGAAATAGGAAAATGTGTGATAGTGTCAAATTTATATTGTATTGTGGATGTGTGATGCACAAGATGTTCTTGGTCAAAAACATTGTTACCATATTAGCAATGTGTGGTCATTCAGTGACATTTAGTAGGCAGGTGGCAGAGGACATTGTCTCTGCTTTAGTATCTAAATGAAGCATCATATATTTATGTAATTCTTTGGACAGATGGATCAATAAATTTTCTAGTGATATATTGTATATCTACAATTTTTTAGTTCTGTTCTTTTGAAAGGAAAAAATTGGTCTGAATTTGTTTTGACTTGCCCTTGTATTAAGTAATTTTTCTCTTTTATCATAAACATAAACATCAGTATTTCTATTTTGTGGAACTTATATACATGTCTGAATCTTTCCTGCATTAACTGCAACATATGACATTTATATTTTGTGTTCTTGAAAACTTGCAGTGATTTTATTTAATATTATTTTGTTTATTAAAATGTTTCAAAAATTCAGGAATATTTTATAATCTTTAAATAAAATGAGAAGATATATAAATCACTTTGTCTAAGGACCCAAAAAAAAAAAAAAACACTTTCCTCACTAAATTCTACTTGATGAAATTGTAATATTCTTTTATTGACATCCTTCCTTAGTAACATTTGTAGTGTTCTTGTATTTCTCTGTATTGGTCCAATTTTTTCTCTGCTTATGATCTTTTTTTGTGTAATATTTGCCAATAATCTTCTTGCATAACACCTTTATCTTTCACTACTAACGTTATTCTCTTCTCTCTCTCTCTATAATCTCTATTTCATTTTTAATATATTCATCCCAGATGGCACTAAGTTCAAATCCATTATTTAAATTGCTTTTATTTTTTCTATTTATAATACTAATAGGTTCTTTTATTTTTCTTTTTGTTATGTTTTTTTTGTGATGTAATATTTTAATTCCGTTCATATCTATATTGGGCTGCAATTTGAAAAAATTATAGACCTATAATTTCTACTGTCATCCATCTGTCTGTGCTTCCTTAATCTCAAAAATGGAAGTAGATAAATGACAGTCCAGACCAGATATGGAAAGCTTGGGCAGGAGGCCCCAATTAACTATATCCAAATTTCCAGTCTAGACCAGAAGTCAGGTGAATTCAATTGAAAAATTTTCTCCTGAATGGAGTTACATAGATGGCTAGCATGACTATTGTTATCAGCAAAACTATGATGTACAGAGACAAGACACTACAGATTTGAGATAGAGAACAAACATTTTAAANTTTTTTTTTTTTTTTTTTTTTGTTTAATTTTACATAATTAATATTCTTTATGAAATGACTTTTGTTCGTTTTTAAATTTATATTAATTATTGATCATTATTTAAGGGGGAAAAATCACTAAATAAAAAAAATATATTGATAGAATTTCCTGCATTATTACTTTTATAATTTTATGGAATTATATCTCAGAATGAAATTCATTGATTTGATAAGAAGATATTTTAAAATTTGAGATTAAAATTTTATTTGTTTAATTAGAGATAAGATTCTATTAACTGTGAATAGGTTGTTTTTATATGAAAAAAATTTTCTCCTCTATCACAATTTGCCCTTAAATATTATTATACATTATGAAATTTTGCACAATATATATAAAAGTTACAAGCAGAACATTCAAGACCTACATAGTCTTCAAAATGACTTATTACTATAATTACAAAGTTTTTCTCAATACACCTTTCCTTGCTGTTTTCTTACTATATCTTTCCCACTATTTCAATTTTTCTAATCAAGATGCTTGACTTTGAAATGCTGTTAAATATTCCATATAAATATATAAATAAGCATTGAAAAATGTCGCACAGTCAATCAGAATCAAAGTTTCATCTATGGCATGTGATCTATATTTTTCTAATGATGCAAGTCTAACTTTACATTCCAGCAAACTGGAATTGCTGCCCATTATTTGTCTATTGTTTTGCAGATTTAATTGATGATTTCAAGTACAGTATATTTTGATTTACAATTTTGTTGTCTGCATACATACATTGATTATAAATATATAATCATCAACAATATTTATAATATTTTTCCTATTAATTTGGGTTTATAATTTGAGAAAAAAATTTTTTATATTTTTGATGACGATGATGGCAGCAAATCCTGTTTTATTACAATGTAGTTTTTTTTTACCTTTTACACAAGTTTTAAAATTGATTTTTCTTAAAATTTTTACGTCATATAAATTTTTTGCTATCCATCTCATTCACAGCTAGTAAATGTAATTGATTTAAAATAATTTTTTTTAAATTAATTCTGCTGATTTCTACAATTCTACTATGTAGAAATCAGAAGAATTGAGGGAGTAACACAATACCAGTAGGGCATCTATATAAACATGTGGAGTATGTGTTTTTACTCATTAATTGCTATTAAGCATAGTGACTGTGGTTTTTTTCTGAAGTATTTCCTATGAAATTCAGTGCACTTCTGCCATCATTTTGGCCATTGCTTGAAGATTGGTAACCTTTTGCTATATTCTTCAGGATCACTTTGGATACTTTGACCACTGCTGTTCTGACAGGAAATAGATTCCTGTAATGTCAGTTTTAGTGCTGGAAATAGGAAAATGTGTGATAGTGTCAAATTTATATTGTATTGTGGATGTGTGATGCACAAGATGTTCTTGGTCAAAAACATTGTTACCATATTAGCAATGTGTGGTCATTCAGTGACATTTAGTAGGCAGGTGGCAGAGGACATTGTCTCTGCTTTAGTATCTAAATGAAGCATCATATATTTATGTAATTCTTTGGACAGATGGATCAATAAATTTTCTAGTGATATATTGTATATCTACAATTTTTTAGTTCTGTTCTTTTGAAAGGAAAAAATTGGTCTGAATTTGTTTTGACTTGCCCTTGTATTAAGTAATTTTTCTCTTTTATCATAAACATAAACATCAGTATTTCTATTTTGTGGAACTTATATACATGTCTGAATCTTTCCTGCAT